GCAAGTGTTTTTCTGAAGATGTAGTTGCTTTTTCAACCCTGATTCCAAAGATCTCTTTAGAATTTGACCCGCGGATGAGGCATATCTTGATTTTATTGAAGAGATCTTTACTAGTCTGAAGATATTGATGCTCTGGGCAGGCGCTGATTGGGGAAATATCCGCTAGGACCCCTTCAGTGCAAGCGCTGATCGGGGAATACGTATATAACACTTGAGAAAACCCAATCAGTGGATGATTTGAAAATTAATACTATGGATCTTGAAATCGACGGTGAGATCGATAATGGGATCGATAGTGGAATCGACAGTGGGGACGATTGTAGGGACGATCGTAAGACCGATAGTGAAATCGATTCAATGAGATCGATAGTGAGATCGATCGCGAGATCGCTCATGCGATCTCTAGTGAAATCGCTTGTGAGATCGATAGTGAGATCGATGGTGAGATCGATAGAGAAGTGGGTCATGAGATCGATAATGAGATCGATCGATAAAAAGATCGACGAAGAATCTGGGAACCCCGGAACCTCGCCGCCCTCCGAAATCGGCCTGGAACCCGGGACCGGGAACCCCGGAACCCAGAACCCGGAACCCGGGAACCCAGCGCGCGACCAAAGTCGGCGGGACACTTTCGCCAAATCCTTCAACTTCCGCGAGGACCCCTTCAGTGCAAGCACCGATTGGGGAAATATCCGCTAGCACCCCCTCAATACAAGCACTGATCGGGGAATCTATTTGTATATATTATATACACATATGTGTATGTAGATATACATATGTGTATATATATACATATATATATATATATAAATAGATTTATCTATATATGTGTATATATACATATATATATATATATATATATATATATATATATATGAAACGATATATGTATACAAACACACCTGAAACAATTTAGGCCAGCTATGTGGTGCACCATGCGTGGCGCAAGCTGCGTGGTGCAAGCTGCGTGGTGCAGCCTGCAGCGCCAGTGCCCACGGGCGGCCGCCGGGCCACGCCGCGCGCACGAGGGGGGCGCCCACGAGGCGCCCACGAGGCGGCCACTGCCGGCGAAGCCTCGGCGGGCCCCCGCGCGGGCACGGAGCGCCCACGGGGCGCCGCCCGGCGCCGGGCGGGCGGAGGCGGGGCGGACCTCGGAGCACCGGGTCAGTGGGGAGCGACAGGCAGAACGCTGCGCACAGGACGCGCGACGGGACACAGGGCTCCTCCGAGGGCAACAGGGCCCAGGACGCAAGGGTACCCTGTCCCTGGGCTACAGAGGACGCGACGCGCGATGCACAGGACACAAGAGTACTCTTGACTTGGCAGGGTCGACCTGCTCATCCGGGCCGCCTGTGCACATTGGCGCTGCCTCGCTCTCCTGGGGCTTTGCTGTGCTCCTGCTCCTTGAATTTTTTGCCTCGTGTGCGGAGCTGCACCGGGACCGTCAACGCCGCGCTTTCCTCGGGCTTTGCTGCGTTCCTGCTCGCAACGCACAGCGCCAGAGGCGGCGGAGAGCTTGAGAGATCCGCCCACGAAGAGTGCGAGACCTGCTCCTGAGCAGGAACATACCGTAGACGGAGCTGCCTTTTCTCCGACCTTGCACCGCGCAGAAACGCAACGGCCGCGGTCCATAGACGCATCCACCCCGAAAGTGTCGATGGACGTCACGGCACCCGATGTGTCCATGGACGCTTTTGGCTTGTAGGACGTGAGAACGGTATTTGGCGTCGGCCCCAGATGTTGGTCTTCAAGAAGCAGGTAGGCTTGGCCCTCCAAGGCGGACCCAGCCAACGCCTCAGGGATGCCAAGAAAGAGCACCGCAGTGCACACACTGCTCGGGGGAGAAAGCCGCCGCAGGCGCCACGTGTCCACACCAGCGTGGCCAGGTCGCGGCGGGTGCGGTTCGCAAACGGTTCGCGGGGCCCGGGGCGCGTCGTGGGTGGGGCGCTGGGCGGGCCGCGGGTGGGTCGGGGGAGGTCCGCGGGCGGGTTGCGGGGCGACGGCGGCAAGAACACCAAAGACAATCCACATGCGGACCTCCGCTTCAGCCGCACACCAAAGGAGAGTACGACCGCTTGGCCCCCCTGCCTCACTCTGATCGAATCAGCTGCTTCGAACGACTGCTCAACGGGTCAGCCAAAAGGGTCAGTGCTGACTCTGCGGCCACTCGGTCAACTGCCGGCACGTGAGAGGGCTGCGAGTCTCGAGACACACCGTGCGAGCAGAAAGAGGGGGAAGGAGAAGAGCAGGGGGATCAAAGGAGACAGAGAAAGACAAAGAGAGAGAGAGGGAGAGGGAGAGGGAGAGAAAGAGATGAGGCAATATGGCGCAAGCTGCGGGGATGCGTGTCGCCTGGAAGGAATCTCGGAAGAGTGGCGTGGAAAGGGAACAGGGAAGGAAGAGGGACAGAGGACAGACCTGATGAGAGTTCTGCCTTCTCGCCCCCAGACCTTCATGTGCTTTTCTCTTGCGCGGGCCTCCCGAGTTCACGATTCCCAGCTCGGGGCGGGCTCCCCGTCGCGGGGTGTCGGTTTCTCGTGGCGCCCGTTGGCCGGAGGCAAGCCTCCAAAGACCCAACACGTGAAGAACCTTGTGGCCCTGAGGCTCCTGGATCACCTAGAGTCAGGTCGGGCGTGTCCCCCTGCAGGCGGGTTTTGGACTACAAATAAAACATACCCCCAACATTTATTAGATTCTCAAACAATCGTTCCAAGACTAGTTGTTTGCAACTATTTGGGACTCTTCCTCCTGCAGCTGTAGCCCAGGCACTTAACTCTGGCATGCCAGCAATGGGCGTGTCCCCCTACAGGCGGAGTGTGGACGACAAATCAAAATACCCCGAAAATAAGCAAACTGATGTTCAAACATAGTCGACACATCCTCCCACAACTTTTTCTTGACTAATTTTGAGCATTCCCCCGGTCGAGGGGCAGGCCCGACCCAAAAACTTGGGGTCTCCTGGCCTGCGCGCCTCGCGCCTCGCGAGGCGCTGCCACCTCCGAGCCCTCCCGCCGCCGACCCCCGGGGGAGGGCCCCTCTCCAGCCCGAGCCGCGGCTCGCGAGGCGCGACTCGCCTTCGACCCCTGGGGCTGGCACACAGTTCATTCGGCCTGACCTATGAGGGACGATGCAGTCGGACTCGATTGGACAGGACACGCGAGAGGACACGAGACCCTTCCGGGGGCCACAATGCCATAGGAATGCAAGAGGCACGGGTCGCGAGACACAGGACACAAGACACAAGGGTACCCTTGATTTAGCAGGATCGACCTACTAATCCGGGCCGACTGTAAAGTGTTCGGCCTGACCTATAAGGAACGATAAGTAAGGCACGAAGCCCCTTTTTCCAAGTCTAGGAAGTCCGAAAGGACCACCAGGGGGGCTCGCCACCAAAGAGGCAGCGGAACGCAGGCAAGCCAAAGGAACGACCGAGCCCCTTTTGAAACGTAAGTGTTCCTTATTCAAGCCGGACGCAGTAGGTGTCCTCGGGTGGGAGGCGGCCGAGGTGCCTGAACTGGCCTGCGCTCCTGAAATCGGTCAGCAGACGGGTGGGTGGGACTAAAGCCGCTCAGATCCTCCCGGGGTCCACCCGGTGCAATTTTTAACCCCGGAACAGTCTTCCATGGTCCCATGGCCCCGAAATGGCCCCCAAAGACCGAAACAAGCAAAAAAACTTCCCGGACCCAGTTCCTCGCACCTGCCCGCCCTTCCTGCTTGCGGGAACCTGTGTTGGGCCACCTCAGACCCAACAGACGGCTGTCAACCTAGATGTTCTTGGGAGGCCCAGCGGCCTCGGGGAAGCCAGGCAGTGGCGGCGGCCGTAGAGGTATCTCCTGCAGAACCACACGCGCGGGGAGAAGACCAGGGTCTTTCTGGCGGCTCCGCAGGGGGGACGGCCCGGTCCTCGCAGGTGGACTCGTTCAGGAACTTGGCCAGCGCGTCCCTCTCCCGCAGCAGCATGAACCTCGGCCGCCCAGGCTGGGGGGAACAAAATGATACCCTTGCGTTGGAGTCGTCTGGGGGTCTGGCAGCAGCATCAGCCGCCCAGGCAGGGGGGAACAAAATGATAACCTAGCGTTGGAGTCGTCTGGGGGTCTGCAGTGGAATCGGAGCCCCCCCCGTTGAAGCAATTTGGAACTCATTCGGGAAAAGTACGTCTCGATCCGCCCCCTCGCGCGGAACACGCCTGCAGTGGCCCCGCACAGGCCGCGCAGTCCCTCCCAGCTGCGAGCGCGCGTGGAGCTTGCATTTTATCTCCGCACAGCTCCCTCGCCGACAGCGCTTCTGCCTCCTCCCCGGTGGAGCCCACCGCCATTGTGGCCGCACGCCCTCCCGCGGCGACGAGGTCCCGAGATCCTAATGGAGGCATCTAGTTGAAGACTGACTCTTCCTCTCTCTTATATACAAAGCATGTTTTAAATGAATATGATCCAACAAAGGTGTCCATGAACTAATCACGAGTACTTTTTTTACAAGGGCGAATATGTATGACATACTCGTATTAGAAATCCGAATATGTGATGACATGCAGTATGCGATGGGACGTTCGTTTTTTTTTTCTTCCCAGCCAGTTTTTCATTCAGGGGAGACCTTCACTGACTAATAAAAACACAAGGTGCGCCGCCTACGAATCAAGAGACGACCTGAAAGTCAATGGAGCCTGGATGCTCCAAGATTTTTGAGTGCGGGGGCTAGGCTTCGGATTCGGCTGGTGAGTCTGAGGTGGCCCCGCGCTAGTTCCGGCCACCTCAGACTGCATCAGATGGACCACGGGAGGGGTCCGAGGACTGATTTTGAGCGAATTTAGCCTTATCCCCCCCTTCTGACTGATTTGCTTGAGTCCCAACCAAGTCAGATTCCTTAACCGCCTCCAACCCTTGCGACAGAAGACCCGAAACAGCGTTGCACAGTTCAAGATGGGGGGCCCGACGGGGGACAGCGACGGGTCACCGGTTTCGGGGGCCCAGCACCCCTAACCGAGCGCTTCAAGAATGAGATAGAACCCTGAGGGCAATAATCAAGACTTACAAAACAGATATACGCAGAAGAGATAGTTGCATCAACGAGAAACTTTCGAATGTCGCGCAGACTTCGTGGATCGGCGTTGTTTCCCTCTCCCTGGCGCGCGGAGCGCGACGGGGGCAGCGCTGGAGGCGCGGTCTCGCGCAGGTCCCGGAAACCCGCGCGGCCCTTCGCAAGTTCCCAGAACCGCGATTGCGCTGGGGATCCCATTGGAAGTAACCGCTCATCACAGCCTCTTAGTTCAAGCATTAGGTCGGGCGTGTCCCCCCTACAGGCGGATCTTGAACGAAAAAGAAAGCATCCCCCCAACATGCTCAAACTACTCAAACGATCGTCCCCTGACTATTTGTTAAAAACTGTTTGTGACTATTCCTCATGCAGCTGTGGCCCAGGCACTCACCTCTGGCAAGCCAGCCATGGGCTGCCCGCGCGCCGTGGCGTGCCGCCCCGTGCCCGCGCCGTGCGCGCGCCGCGCCCGCGCTCTCTCTAGCACGCCCCGGAGCACGGGCCGCCTGCCGCGCCCGCACCGTGGCGCCCGCCGTGCCCGCGCCGCGCGGCTCGTCGTGCGCCCGCGCGCCGACGCGCTGCACAGACGCGCCGCCCGCCGCGCCGTGCCGCCCGCGCCCGCCGCGCCCCGCCAGCGCCACGTGCGGCGGGCGCCAGTGAGCCGTGCCGCTCGCGTGCCGTGCCGCTCGCGCGCCGCGCCGGGCGCCTGGCCGCGGCTCGCCCGCACGCTTCGAATGCGCAGCGACGGGCCTGCTGTCCCACCACCACCACCAGGGGTTGGAGGGGGAGGGGGTCCTCCTCCTCCTCCTCCTCCTCCTCCTCCTCCTCCTCCCTCCTCCTCCTCCTCCTCCTCCTCCTCCTCCTCGTTCTTCCTCCTCCTCCTCCTCCTCCACGGCGTGTCTTGGCCACGACCGCGCCCCCTCGGTGGGCCGGTCCTCCTCCTCCTCCTCCTCCTCCTCCTCCTCCTCCTCCTCCTCCTCCTCCTCCTCCTCCCCCTCCCATCCTCCTCCTCCTCCTCCTCCTCCTCCTCCTCCTCCTCCTCCTCCTCCTCCTCCTCCTCCACCTCCCGCTCCCCCTCCCCTCCCCCTCCTCCTCCTCCTCCTCCTCCTCCTCCTCCTCCTCGACTTCTTCTTCTTCTTCTTCTTCTTTTTCCTCCTCACCCTCCGCCTCCTTCCCCCCTCCAATCTCATGGTGGTGGTGGCGGAAAGCAGGCCCATCACGCAACATGCGCGCAGCTCGCGTGCCCGGCAGCGCTGAAACCGTGCCGCGGGCCTGCCGTGCCGTGCCGTGCCGCCCGCGTGGCATGCGCCCGCGTGCCGTGCGCCGGCGTCTGCGTGCCACAGCTACCCGACAACAAAAAATGCCGCTCGTCGTCGTCGTCGTCGTCGTCGTCGTCGTCGTCGTCGTCGTCGTCGGCGTTGTCATTGTCGTCGTCGTCGTCGTCGTCGTCGTCGTCGTCGTCGTCGTCGTCGGCGTCGTCGTCGTCGCGCCGACAAGAGAAATGCCGCCCGGGTGCGGTGACGTGCCGTGCCGCCCGCTTGCCGTGCAGTGCTCGGCGTCCAGGTGTCCCGAACACGGCCGCCAGCGTGCTGTGCCGCGTCGTGCCCGTGTGCCGTGGCGTCGGCGTTTGGCAACGGGGTGGAGAAAATGTGGGAGGCCTCAGCGGCTCTGAGTTAAGCTGCGCTAGCTCTAGGTCGGGCATGTCCCCCTACAGGCGGATTTCTGACGAAGAATACAAAATATCAGATTCCTCCTGTAGAGGGACATGCTCTTGCGGCGGTGGCCACCCACACCAAGCACGCGCCCCATATGTGCGCGGGTTGTCGTGCAGCGCTGCTGTGTAGGGTCTCCTTAGCACGCTGTAGAAAATTTAGGTGCATGCCGACCTGTTGTTCGCTCCTGAGCGACTGCCGCTTGGTCCTGACCCCTGGTCGCGCCAATACCAAACGACATCTGGAGCCCAAGCTCCGACGCAGGCCCTGGCCGCCTGTAGCGCCCAGAGCCGGAGGGAACAACGCAGGAGTTGGAGGAAACAGCGCAGGACCAACGATGCCTAGACCTCTGGCGGCATGTTTTCGCGTCGTGAGCCCCTGGAACTCTCTGGAGGGGAAAAACACACAGACACAATGAATCGTCGATTCCGTAGAAAATATGGGAAAATATGGGAAGTGGGGGGGGGAAGATGAGAACCAAGAAAATTTTGAAAAAATCGTGGGGGATCCTTGGATTTGTGTGTATTTATTTGTGTCCCTGGGCCCCCTCAAACTCGTGAGCCCATCCAAGGTGACCCGGCCGTTGACGCGGGCCGCTGCCTGGCGTCTCCGGGGACCGGGGCCCAGAACGGTCCAGCTCCAGGCCCGAAACTCTGAAAAGCTTGCCGTCGCGTTTTTTGATCACGACGCCATGGCGTCGGGGTAGTCACGGCGTCAGGACTCCAAGCGGCGAGGGGCCTGGCGGCCCCCAGTCACAAGCCCACCAGGCCCCTCAGCGGGCCAGGGAACTTGGGGCCCAGCTCGGTTGCCATACGATGGAGGCGCGTCTGGCCTCGATGAGGTGCGCCTGGGCAGCCCCCGGGGGTACATTCCCGAGCCATCCTTTCCTGAAAGGCCAGGTTTCTTGCCTGGGACTTGGGGACCCGGACATCCTCCGATACTAGTATGTTCGTTCAATCCGCGGCCCCAGAGGTCCAGATCCCTTACCTGGGGGGGAACTCTGCGCCTGGGTCCACTTCTGATGGTCCAGGGCCGGAGCTCCGGGGACCTGAGGGGCGAGGCCCCGCCGGCGACCAGGGACGCCGCCCCCCGCTGCTGCACGGTCGTCCTCGCCGTGCGCAGAGGGGGCGTGCAGCCCTGCCTGCACACGCATCCTCGGAACCTCCCCGCTCCGAGGTCCTCTCCCCGTCTGCGCGTCTCCCTGACTTCCCTTTAGGTCGGGCGGCACGCCCCCCTACAGGCGGATTTTCGAAGAAACAGAACAAATAGTGAAGAAGTATTATAGAATTATGAAACAAAAAATCAGAAAATCGTCCCGACTCTTTGTTAGATTATTTTTGAATTTTCCTCCTGTATAGAGAGAGAGAGAGAGCGAGAGACGTGCCCGACTGAACCCACCCACCCCTTCCCTCCTCCCCTTCCCCATGCATGATGCCTCAACAACACCATCGTTTGCACGATCATGGCCTTCGTTATGTCGATCACTACCGTCGTCGGCATCGCCAGTGCCAGCCCGCCGTCACCACCGCGAGAAAGCCACCCAACTACCCCCACCAATGCAACCGGCATCCTCGATTGTGCTGGAGGGGGGCAAGGATATCCAGGCGCTGCCCGTGGAAGGAGAGGCCCCACGTATGTTAAGTAACCCAACCCGTCCATGTTAAGGAACCCAACCCCTCCTCCTCCTCCTCCTCCGCCTCCTCCTTTCTCCTCCTCCTCCTCCTGCTCCTCCTCCTCCTCCTCCTCCGAACGCTGGAGTACTCGAGGACGCTGACAAGCCTGACTGTTGTCTCTAGCGTCTGCCTCTGGGAATGCCGGGCGTTGGAGGTCGGCTGTGCGAGGAGGCCAGCCGCCTCCCCAAGCCTAAAGCTCGCATTGCCGTTATTGCTTTAGGTCGGGTATGTCCTCCTGCAGGCGGATTTTGGACGAAAAACAAAAAATACCTCAACATGCTCAAAAATCATCGAAACATGCGCAAAACATGGTCCCCAGAGTATTTTTGTTTAAGGAGCTATGTTTGAACAGTCCTCCTGCAGAGGGGCAGGCCCGACTTAAGCCTAAAGCTCGCATTGCCGCTCCTGCTCGTCTCGGACCGTCGCTCGTCGAACCCCCACCTTGGACAAGGAAACGAGGAAAGGAAGGGAACACAGCATGACATCTCACCGGCCTTGCAGACGTGCTTCAGCGGATGTCTGCGTGGATTTCTGTGTGGATTTCTGCCCGAAGCGGCGCGTGAAAAACGACATGAATTTCGCGTGGATGTTTGTTGAGTCTTCATTCCTGGCCCACAATATGTGCGAAATTCACCTCGAAACCCAGAACGAAATTCTTCTGGACACTCCAGGCCCATCCGATAGTTTTCCCAATGAACTCTGCTCTGCGATGTTGGCGCGATGAGACATCCACCGCTGCTTCACCAAGCTCGCGGGGGCGTCGCGGACCCAAGAAATCCAGACTGCCGCGAAAGCACGCCTCCAGAGCCCCCCGACGCTCGTGATGATTCGAGACGATCCCCCCACGTCCCGAATCGCCTAGACTGGAAGAAGAAGAAGAAGAAGAAGAAGAACCAGTGACGGCATAGACATCAACACTCGGAGCTCCGCGCGGAGCTCTTGGACATGCGCTGCCCCCCCAACCCGGCACGCGCAGTGCGCCAGGGAGGCGGCGCCAGAGAGGCGTTGCCGGGGGGAGGCCAGCGCCGATCCATGCAGCCTGCGCGGAGCTCGAAAAAAGTGTGACGGCCACCGGTGCTCTGCAAGGCTGGAGGCCGGACAAGGGGTGTGGCATCAGTGAAGGGGCCCCAGGACACACAAATAAATACACACAAGTAACCAGATTCCCCATATTTCCCATATTTTCTGGGTTTCTGTCTTCCCCCCCCTCCCATATTTTCACATACTTTCTGGGGAATCGAGGATTCATTGTGTCTCTGTGTTTCTCCTCTCCTGAATCAAGGGGTGCTGCGCCAGTGGTGGAAGTGGCGCGGCCGCCGACGAGAAAGAACGCTGCCAGATTCCGCAGCGGCACCACGCCCCTCTGCACACGGGCCCTGCAGGGCACGAGACCCCTGACTACCTACCAGACCACCCCAACCCAACCCGAAGACCCGAATTTGACCCGAATTTCGGGTTGGGGGGGGGTACGGATACCACGTGTTTTTTCAACGTTCCCCGACCCCCCCCCACTGGAAATCGACGATAAATTTGGACCTTCGGGTTGGGTTGGGGTGGTTTGGTGGGTGGTGAACCCCGGCGCACGGCCTGGGCGCCACGGAGCCTGCCGCAGGCAGCCGCCCCGTGCCTGCAGCGCGCGCCGCCCCGCGCCGGCTGCGCCCACCACTGCACGTGCCAGGCGCGGGCCCCGCAGGGGGGGGGGGGTCCGACCGGACGGCACCGGAAGCGGCGGCCCGTGGCCCAAAGCGACGCAGGGCGAGGGGATCCACCAGCCTGGGACATACCCCAATCCCTGTGCTGGGCACCTCCTCCTCACGATGCCAATCCTAGGGATTCCCTCATTTTTTGAGGGCGGATCCCTAAGATTGTCATCGCCTTTTGGCGTGTCAATCTTGGGGATAGGGACACGCTCGAGGCTGGTAAGGGATGCGGAAGAGGGCACGGAGGAGGTTGGCAAGCAGGAAAAGGGAGGTGCTGGACAGACTCCGGAGAGGGGGAGGGGGGAGCCGGAGACTCCAGGGGCCCAGGCCGTGAGAGAGGAAGATCAGAACACGACGCCGCCAGACCTCCGACGCCGTGCTCCTTACATGGGCGTAGCCCCCGGACCTCTCGATATAACTTCCCGATGACCGGTGTTTCGGCTCGAATCGCTTTCGGATGGCTCCGAAGCCCGAGAAGGAGAAGGGCCCCCCTGAAGCCAGAGGTGGCGAAAAGGCTGCGTCTTCTTTTGTTCCATCTGCTTCTCGCCCATTGAGCACCGAAAGCCCCCCCGCCACCCCTAGAGGCCTCCTAGATGGGGTCCGAGTAGGTGGGGTCGGAGGATCTCGCCGCATCGCCGTTACGTCGGCGATACATCGTCGCCGATGCATCGGCGATACATCGGCGATGCACTGGCGACGTCGGAGATGCATCGGCGACGTCGGCGTGGAGAAAATTGGGTCCCGCATCGAGCCGCATCGCCGATACTTCGGCGACGCATCGGCGATGTGGCGCGATCCTCCGACCTCATCTACTCCGACCCCATCTGGGAGGCCTAGAACATGATTCGGCCACCCTAAACGGGTACGGACAAAAATGAGTACGATGCCCAACAACAAACAAGTGTTGTCCAAGACCGACATCGGCCGCTGTCGGGCAGGCGGCCTTCGGTCTTCAATGGACAACGGCCGCGGCGACGCCGACAGCGGATCCTGTTCAGAATGAACAAGAGCTGCTGTTGAGCTTTGTGCCAATTCTTTACATACCCATGTCGATCGTCCAGACCTGAGCACCACATCGGAGGTTGCTACGGGTGCCCCTGGCCCAAGGTGCCCCCAGCTTTTCGCTCAATGTTGGAGCTCCTGGGACCCTCTGGACCTCGTGAGGGGTGCTCTGGAGGCCGTGGGGGCCTCCTTGAAAATCCTGGGGGCACCTTGGGCCAGGGGCACCTCGAGCAACACCCGACCCAGAGCCCCCCGGCCACCCCCTGCCGGCGCGGGCTCTGCGCTGCTGAGGCGCGGGCTTCTTCTGCGCGTCCGGGCCCAGCGAGGTGACCAGGTTGGCCATCCTAGGAGCGCCCGTGGAGGGCGGTGCGCCCAGGCCCTGGGCGCCTTCACACATTCGAGGCGCAGGCTTTTTTGAAAGGGCCCAGGGGCTCACACACACACACACACACACACACACACACACACACACACACACACACGCACGCACACACACACACACACACACACACACACACACACACACACACACACACACACACACACACACACACACACACGCACACACACACACACACACGCACACACGTACACACATATATATATATTATATATATATATATATATATATATATATATATATATATATAAGCTCCCCCCCCCCCCAGCGACCCCCCAAAACGCCCAAAACACGAAGCCGCGGTCTTGAGATGCTGGCACCGAACAGCCGCAGACACATGGTCTGTCACAGCGGGCTGTGACCCGAGAAGTATTCCTCCTCATCTTACTCTCCCTCATCCTCCCCCTCCTCTTCCATCTCCCCCCTCGCCTCCTGCTTCTCCTGTTACTCGTCCTCCTCCTCCCTCCTCCCTCGTCCTCCACCTTCTGTTCTTCCACCTGGTCCTCTCCCTGTTGGAGAACTCAACTTTGGCCTGCCATCCAGGCTGACGAACTCATCCGCTCGGCCCATCCGTCACGGGCACCGTGCGCGCAAGCATATCGGTTTCGGCCGAGGCCACGAAACACTGTGTATCACAGGTTTTTCTGGTTTTTCTGGTCTGGGAACCAACGAAACACTGCGTATCACAGGTTTTTCTGGTTTTTCTGGTTTCTGGAGCTGAAATGCTCGCCGCGGCCTCGCCCCACCGCTCCCCCACCTCCTGTTTGTCGGCACCTGAAAACGAGAAAAACCAGAAAAACCTGTGATATACAATGTTTCGTTGGTTCCCAGACCAGAAAAGCCAGAAAAACCTGTGATGCACAGTGTTTCGTGGCCTCCGAGCAAGAAAACACTGTGTACTCTTCGGGGACTACAGCGCTCGCCGCTCACTGGCAGTGCTCCTTGAGGAAGGCCTCCTCCAGCATCTTCCCTGTTGCCAGCCACAAATCCTCGCCCCTGTGCCAGTACAACCACTGGTAGGAGCCAGAACCAGAACCAGAACCAAAGCCAGAACCAGAACCAGAACCAGAGCCAGAACCAGAGCCAGAACCAGAACCAGAACCAGAGCCAGAACCAGAACCAGAACCAGAGCCAGAACCAGAGCCAGAGAACCAGAACCAGAGCCTTGCTCGGAGGCCACGAAACACTGTGTATCACAGGTTTTTCTGGTTTTTCTGGTCTGGGAACCAACGAAACATTGTATATCACAGGTTTTTCTGGTTTTTCTGGTTTTCAGGTGCCGACAAACAGGAGGTGGGGGAGCGGTGGGGCGAGGCCGCGGCGAGCATTTCAGCTCCAGAAACCAGAAAAACCAGAAAAACCTGTGATACGCAGTGTTTCGTTGGTTCCCACACCAGAAAAACCAGAAAAACCTGTGATACACAGTGTTTCGTGGCCTCGGCCGAAACCGATATGCTTGCGCGCACGGTGCCCGTGACGGATGGGCCGAGCGGATGAGTTCGTCAGCCTGGATGGCAGGCCAAAGTTGAGTTGTGTATTCGTGCTTTGGGCGCTCTGGGGGGTCGCTGGGGGGGGGATCGACCATATATGTATATATATATATATACATATATATATATATGTATGTATATTGTATATACGGGTGTAGACATGTATACATATACGCGGAAGTTCGCCTTCCCCTCAACTTTCCGACTTTCCCCTCTCCTCCAGGGGATCGACGGGTCGTGGAGCCTGTGTGGGTTTTCCCCCTCCTGACCTCTGGGGGTTGTGCTCAACCTCCAAAGGCCGTCGTGGGGCCTCCGGGCCATCCACAAAAGGCAATGATCTTGATTTCGTTGCGCTCCGCCCCAGAGAGGGGGGGGGAAGGCGCCTGCCCCACCCCCCCTCAGTTGTACCGCGCCGGAAGCTCTGAGTCTAAGCTTGGTGGTATCTCTTGGGGGGGGTCTTTCACCAGGGAGCCCACGAAAGACGTACGCGCCCATCACGCACATGAACACGGCCCCCCAAGCCGCGAGACTGGTCGCGCTATACGAACATTCGCGCAATGCGTACTCTCGAAACCATCGTGGATTCATGTACGTGGACGTGCTTCTGTCGCTCCTGACTCACTCCTGCACCAAGCGCGCTGCCTACCCTGCGCGAGCAGTCGGCGCGAGAGGCCTCGTGTGGGGCCCCGAGCCGCCGCGTGGACGGCGCTGGTCTAGTCGCTGTGCGGAACGAGAAGCCAGACAAAGGGCGAGCAGAGGCAGGAGGAGGAGGAGGAGGAGGAGGAGGAGGAGGAGAGGAGAGGAGAGGAGGAGGAGGAGGAGGAGGAGGAGGAGGAGGAGGAATGATGCGAACGACGATCGAAAACGGGCCTTACGCTTCGTTGGAGACGGCACCCCCACGCCCTACGCGCCCTCTTCTGCCACGCCTCCGCACGCCACCCGCTGGCCTCGGGCGGCGGAGAGCCGCCCCCGCCCGGCCTCCCCCAGGACTCCCGACGCCGTGATCTTCGTGGATCACGTCGGCCCCAGAACAGCAGGGGATATGTCGATCCCTATCCCAGGCGTCGTGGGGTTTTCGAATGGACCAGGAATGTGTGGCCCAACCCTGGGATATGCAACGGGGAGGCGAACATCCTCGATTGGAGCGCGTCCGAGAAGAGCACCCTTGGGGTGTCTCCCAAGGTGTCCCCCTTTTTTTCTGAACGGCTAATTTTTTCGGCCGGAGCTCGCGGATTGGGGGGGACAAATCGCCTGCGACAAAAGTCTCGACCAATTCCCCGGGACCAATTGTTCATGCCGAGTCACCTGTCGACGGTCCCAGTGGCCCGGTAAGGGCTCCCAAAGGCCGAAGACAGCGGAAAGCATGCCGCAGAGTTGTTTGTCGACGGTCTCAGGGCCCGGTGAGGGCCCCTCGAGGCCGAAGACGGCGGAAAGCCCGCCTTCGTGATTGTGTCCGCGACGCCAGCAAGTTTGTCGGGGGCGCGCAAACATGGACTAGCGATCCATGGATTTGCCGCGCGGTCGCCCACGTCCATGGATCGGGGGAGGCGCCCTCCCCAAAATGCGGCCGGTTCCCCCCTTCTTCGACGGCGAGGCCCCTTCGACAAGTCGGCTGTGGGATCCTTCTGTCCTCTTCGGCGGCAACTCATGGGGGCCTCCCATACCATATTGCTGGCCCTTGCGAATGGACGCTGGTCGACGCTAGTCGACGCTCACCGACGATAAATCAACGATACATCGCCGCTAATTCGGCTCTTTCTCATCGACTACCAGTCTCAGACGCTAATCGACGCTGGTGCGCTCTTACGACGTGATTGCGAGGGCATACAAGGCTCTCAGTATTCGCGACCGAACTCCTGCAGCCTCAACCGCCACTCCAGGGAGAGCCGTGGCTGCCAGGGCGCTGTCCCGACTCGCCTGCGACCGAACCGAAACCCGTGCAAGGCTCGAGGCTCGAGGATCGATCTCTGGAGACCCCTTGCTGGCTTTTCGTCGCAAAGGGTAGATTCCCCTCGAAATCCTGGTCAGGACGCGCCCCAAGGCGGGCCAACGGGGGGTCGATGTTTGAGTGAATCGACCCTGGGCGACGTCGCGCCTGGACGCCGGCACGCACCACCGAGTCGATCTGATGGCGGACAGCCCTGCCAGTGGACTGTGCCCTGGCTCACAGGCACAGGATGATGTAGCAAGAATGCCCATAATCAAAGTCAATCGGGAATCTGCTAACCCGGGTCAATCAGACCCCGGTCAGCAGGAAACCAACAAACTGCACTCGCTCTCTCGCTCGGCCGTGCACCTGGTAGGACGCGTTGACAAACTGCAATGCAAGAAAACAACTGCCACGCAGGGCTTCGCAAACCCGGGTCAGCCAATATGCGCGGCCGCCTCGCGGCCACGAGCGGCTCGCTAACCCGGGCCAGCCAGAGGGTGTATTCGCAGGATCCTGCAGGATCTGGTGCCCTGGCTGACCCCCGCTTGCATTGACCCCCGTCTCTTAAGCTCCAAGCCAACCATCATGTGCCTTGCCCGGCTCGTCTCGGCTCGTCTCTCAACGCCGGCCTGCCCCTGAGCGATCGCCCAAGCCTCTCCAGATCGGCCCGGGGGACGGCCCCGACTGGTCCCGCGCTGAGCGAGCCGATCGGTGCCACGCGCGGGCTTCGACGCGCCCCCTCGAGCCGATCGGCCCGTGAAGCAGGGCCCCGACGCCGCAAGAAGACCTCATCTCGGGGGGAAGGAAAGGGACAGCAGAGGGTAGGGTAGAGAATCAGCTCACGTAGCTGATCTTCCCGGCGCCTCCCGGCGCCGGCAGGCGCCCATGTATCGAGGAATGGGCCCGGCGGCGGGGCCGAAACCAGCTGCATGCAGCAGATTTCGTACCCCCCCCCTTTCTCTATTCCCCCCTTTTGTTCGGCCCGATGATCCTGTGCCAAGGGGGGGGGCCTGCGCCGGAGTCCCTGGGGACCCCAATGGCGTCGCGACTTCTGCCGCAAAGGTAGACACCTAAAGGAAGGCTTCGACCCCTTCCCGAGGGGTGCTGCGTGCTTCTAGAAGTCGAGTTCGGCTTCAGAGGGCACTACATATCTCGGGCGTGTTTATTGAAGTCGAAGTGGACTTCTCCGAGCACACCTGTCTCTGAAGTCTTCCCAAACGCGCCGTTCTCTCGAGCTCGGCGCCGGGAAGCCGAGCGAAAAACAAAGAAGAGCTGGCCGCCGCGACCGCTCTCTGCGCCGCCCCCGCCTCGGGCTTTTTCTGCGCCGCCCCAGATGCGACTGGGAGCCCGGAGTCGGATCGATAAGTCGAGTCGGCGATCGCAATGAATCGGATCGGCGGAAGTCCGCCGCCCAGTCGGGAGGCGTCGAACCGGCGGACATCGGAAAGCTAAAGATGGTAACGCCTCACTGAGACATCGGAATCAACATCGGAGTCCGAAGCCGAATCGAATCGGAACCGGACGCCGTCGAAATCGAGTCGGATCGGATCGGGGGAGTCGACATGAGCCCCAGATCTGGAGCTGTATCGCCACCATCGTACTTAAGGACCACATCCCAAAAACAATTTCGAGCACCCAGAGAAGCATCGACACGGCGTCCAACGAGCATCGCCTCTCAGGGCACGGCACGTGGAAACCCTCAAGTTTCGGTACTTTCTTGGTGTTCGAAATTCTTCCGGGTGGTGAAACGGGGGCGCGCAAACATGGATCAGAGATCCATGGATTTGGCGCGTGGCCGCCAGCTCCATGGATCGGGGGAGGTGCCCTCCCCAACATGCGGCCGGTGCCGCCTCGCTCGGCGGCGGACATCCGCGATTTCCCGTGGAAGCGCGACCCGTCGCTCAATCACGCCCCCCTGATCCATGGTCGCGATCGCCGGAATGAAAGCTAAAGCCGTTTGGGGCATCAAACCCTGACCTTCCAGGAGGGCTAAAAAATAGCAAGCGACTTAAAAACCTATCCCAGAGCTATTCTATGTCTTGGTTTTAGGCAGTTTCGATTCGTTTTTTAGGTTTTCAGGCCCCCCGTGCCAAAACATAGATCCCTGGAAAGTCAGGGGAAACCGGGAGGCTCCTCTGCTTGGTCGCGGCCGCGTTCTGCGCGGCGCCGCCGCCCAGGGCCTTCGACGAGACGGCCTCGCACGGGCGCGCGCGCGCGCGCTGGGCGCCCCCCTCGGGTCGGGCGAAAGGGGGGGATAGCAAAGGGGGGGTTTGAGAATCAGCTCACGTAGCTGATTTTCCCGGCGCCTCCCGGCGCCAGGAGGCGCCCATGTATCGAGGAATGGGCCCGGCGGCGGGGCCGAAACCAGCTGCATGTAGCTGGTTTCGTAACCCCCCCTTTCCCAAACCCCCCCTTTAACCCCCCCTTTCCCAAACGACCCGACCCCCCGGCCAGCGGTCGGTGGCTCCGGCCCTCGCCTCTCAAGGGGCTCCCCTCGAGGCCGGGGCGCGGCAGGAAGGCTGCATCGGCGACGCCGCCCCCGCTCGCGGGGCCGACGTTCCACCATCACTGCCACAGGTGGCAGAGGAGGAGGGAGGAGGAGGAGGAGGAGGAGGAGGAGGAGGAGGAGGAGGAGGAGGAGGAGGAGGAGGAGGGAGGGGGGGGGGGGGAGGGGAGAGGAGGAGGAGGGGGGGGGAAAGGAGAAGGAGAAAGGCTTCTCGGAAGACCTCTCCGCCTCCCGAGTTGTTTTTTTGGTTTTTCTGTTGCGTTTTCCGGGAGGGCTCAGAAAACTTCTCAGAAGACCAGGGGACTTCCGAGCCTTTCCGAGAAGGCCCCCCCCGTCCCATTTTCCCAACTCGCTCGCCGCCGATCCCTGTCGGCACCCCGGATACCCCGAAGTGCTCCGCAAGGGCACAGCTGCAGAGTGGGGGGGGGTGCAGGGGGAGGGGGATGGGGAGGAGGAGGAGAAGGAGGAGGAGGAGGAGGAGGAGGAGGAGAAGAGGAGGAGGAGGAGGAGGAGGAGGAGGGGCAGGGGGAGAGGGAGGGGAAGAGGAGGATGGGGAGGGGGAGGGGAAAGGGGGAGAGGGAAGGAGAGGGGGAGGGGGAGGAGGAGGAGGAGGAGGAAAGGGAGGTGGAGGAGGAGGAGGATTAGGAGGAGAAGGAGGAAGAGGAGGAGGTGGAGGGAGAGGAGGAGGGGGAGGAGGACTCCAGGAGCACGACAGCGCCAAGCGACCTCCCCTAGCGGGCTCCGTCTCTCTCTTCCGGCACGCGAGGCCGACGCAGGCGGGAGGAGGGAAGGGAAGGGAAGGGAAGGACCCACAGATGCGGGCGTCGACACAAGGACTGGGACGCCAATTGCTCTACGTGTCCTCTTGTGGAGGCCGTCCCCCGGCCCTGGGGCACCCGGGGGAGGACTCAGGATGACAAGCAGCTGGCCCTCGGGACGTGGTCGAGATCGAGTACGGCGCCAGAGGAGAAGGGATGGAGGAGCACGGAGGGGGCCCCGAGGAGGGGAGGAGTACGACATCCGACGGAGATGAGGGGGCCAGAAGGAGGTTGCGAGGCAAGGAGGCATGAGGGTGACCCTATCGCAATGGCCATCCTCCCAACTGGAAAGGACGTAAGCCAGGAAGGATGAGAGGCCATGGGAGTTCCCAGGGAGGATGGAAGGATGGAAGGAAGGATGGAAGGACGGTGGAGTACCAAAACCCATCCCCACGGAGCGCGTGTCACAAACTGAAGCACTTCAACTATGACGTGATTTCCTTGATGTGGGTCAACCATGCGAGTTCCAAACGATCGGCAAGACGGTTACGACTCGGGGAAGCACCGTACGACATGAACACGGTTCAATTGCTGCTGTCTCCCGCCACCGAGCACCAACGGGCCAGTCAGCACCCGAGGGCCTGTGAGCACCAAAGAGTTTGGAAATACCACTGTGCTGATGAACAGATTATCGTCCACGCGCACTTCAATGCCTGAGAGCAAGTACGGCCTTTGACCACCGCAACGCCCATGACCGAAAAAGTGCTTGTGATCAACACAGGCCTGTGTCACCACAGGGCGTGTAAGCATCAACACGCCCGTGAACAACACAACGCATGTGTTTAGATCACGACGCTTCCGATCACGACACGTTCCATGATCACCACGTCGCCTCCAATCACGATGGAGCCAGTGAGCACCCCTCTGGTGATGAACACTCTGTGGCCTGTGGCCGCAACATAACTCGTAAACGCCACCGTGCGCAGTGTCCCCACAGCACCTGCGACGATTACGCACCCTGCATGTGAGCAGCACAGGGCCTACGAGCCATACAGCAGCGATTTGTGTCACAAAAACGCGAATGAGTACCAGTGTGTCTGATGTCACTACTTCAGGCGCCGGGAGTACCAATACCTCGCCTCCGAGCTTGTGAATGCACTGCCTGTAAACACCACGTTGCCTATGAATTCGACGCGGTCTACAATCACCCTAATACTCATGCATCATCAACGCAGTGCCTGGGGGAACGTGTGGGCAGTCCGTCAATCTCCCCCTGGAAGCAAGACTCGACCAGCTCAGCCATCTGGGGCGGGCAATATTCTCCACATCATCGCGAACATCACGGGCCTGTACCTCTCGCTGTGAGCAATGTAAGGGCCCACGACGTCGCCGATCTCTGAGATTCCTGAGGTGCCCCGTGCCTTCGTGGACCCCAAAGGCCACCGGGGGACCCGACACTTCTGCGGGGCAGTAGCTGGCGGGCTGGCTTCTTGTCCGTTGTTGTGCGCCTGCTGTATCATATAATGTGGGGGTGGCTACGAGGTCTGCGTTGGGTGGGCCCCGAGAGAATCGGTTAAGAGGGTAGACGAAGCCAAATCTAATCGAAATCGGTCCCCGGATCCCTCCCAGGGGGTCCACCTGGTGCAATTTGCCACCCCGGATCCGTTCTTGACGGCCCTGAGGCCCGAAAGCGGCTCCGGGAGCCCGAAAGAGGCAGGGAACCTTCTCGAAACCAGACCCTTGGACCTCTCCCCATAATTCCTTCTGGCCAGAACCAGCGCCGGTCCGCCTCGGACCCCCGCCATCTCCAACATACAGTCGGCCCTGATCAGTGGGTCGACCCTGCCGAATCAAGGGTACACGTGTGTCCTGCGTCTCGCGATCCATGCCTCCTGCGCTACTGTGGCAAGGTGGCCCTCGGACGGGTCTTGTGTCCTCTCGCGTGTCCGGCTCAATCAAGCCCGACTGCACAGCCCCCTCCCTTCCAGTGCGTGCCCCACGATGCCCGCAGCTGCTGGCCTCGTCCTCCAGCTTCCGCGTGATCTCCTCCTGGAGCTTCGCCAGCTCCTCGGGCGGCGCTGGGCGCCACCCGAAGGCCCACCGCGCCGCGAGCTGCGGCCGCGATCTCTCCCGGCAGGCGGGGCTCGAGCGGCCCGCCCCCCGCCCCGCACCGCAGCAGCAAAGACATGCCGCGCGCGATCGCAAGCGCCGAGCGCACCCCGAGCGCACGATCGGAGCGCCCCAAGCAGCTCCTCCGTGTCCTGCTCGATCGTGCCCTGCGGCAGGGGGGGGGGGCCAGGACGGGGTGCGGGCACGCCCGGACTCGATGCGCAGAGGTGGGTACAGTGTCAGGTCGGGCATGTCCTCCTACGGGCGGAGCGTGGACGAGAAATGGGGAATAGAAAACACAGAGACCCCGAAACAATCCAAAATCGTTGAAAAATCCTCCCCAGACCATGTCTCGACTACCTTTGAGTACTCCTCCTGCAGGGGGAGGTGCACGACGCAAAGCACGGTGCCAAAGCAGCAGGCTGTCGCCCAGAGCCGACAGCGGGCGCCGCTGGGCGGGCAGCCGCTCGGCTGGCAAAGGGGGGCACCGCCCGCGGCGACACCGACAGCGCTGCCTGTGCTCAAAGCGGATGGGATCTGCGGCCGGCCTTCATCGCAATTCTTGTAGGGGGTCGAGCTCCATACCGGGCAATGTTTAATACATGGGATGTTTAATACTATATGATTTTAATGCATGGTTAAATGTATGAGTAAATGTATGCATGAACTCATCGGTGCTTTTAGTACTAAGTCCCTCCATGCTTAATACATGATCCGCTCGCGGGCATCGAGGACTGACAAAAACGGCCCTACCCTGGGTTACAGGTGCGTGGTCTGCAAACCTCCTCGGACCCCCCAGAGCCTAGAGAGCCGCCGGGACGCCGCACATCACGCAGGGTTTACCCTGTCTTGGGGGCAAACAAACCTACCTCGCTTTTGACCACCCTCGCTTCCAAGAGATACCAAACGATGCCAAGTTGCAGCCTGTACTGGTCAGGCCGCTTGACGAGGAGGCGCGTGGTATGGCTTGGTTTTGCCTGGAAGCGAAAGCGGGGTAGGTAATTCACGCTCTGACTGTCAGCCCGAAGGAGTTTCAGCGCAAAGCGCCTCGTAAACCAGGGTGGGGGCGTTTTGTATGCCTTTGACTGTAGGGGGTCGAACTCCTTACGCCGACGCCTCCTCCGGCCCCGCATCAGACTCTGCACTGGAGAGCGGACCCTGGTGCATACGGGACCCTGGTGTATACGAGCGAGCAACGACATATGTACATGTACGCCCTCCGCGATCTTGAATGCACGAACGTTCTCGTTCAAACGCCCTCCAGGGGAAGCTAACCGCGTACGTGTACATATGTTGATGGCCATTGAGTATACATGCTTCGCTGCTTCCCCAGGACGCCGGGGAAACAATGTACCGAACCACCACCCCAACGATGCTTTTGCTCAAAGCGGGTCGGGTATGCTGCCGGTCTTCATCATACACGTCGCTCATTTCTGATCGTGCCCACTTGTAACTATGCTCGTTTCGAATCGTTCCTGGCCCCCCAGGTGGCCAGGAAGAGGCCCAGGATAAGAATTAGAAACGAACAATGTGTAATCTTGTCGTGCCCATGTCGGCCTTCCAGAGGGTGAGCATCGACGACGGGGGCGACGGGGCGTCGTAGGCTTTTCCAGACGGGGCTCCCCAGATGTCTGGGGCCCTTCCCGGGGACGGGCTCTCTCCATCCTGGAGGCCGCCTTTCGAGGGCCCCGCGGCCCGGCCCCTTTCGAGTCGGCGGCGACGATAGGGGCGAATAGCACAGGGGCGGGCATTACACGTATTCGCCCAGGAGCCTTCTCGAGGACACAGATCTCCCCTGGGCTCTTCGCCCCTGGGCTGTTCGCCCCTATCGTCGCCTCTGATGGAGCCCGAAGACTGCACACAGGCCTGCCGCCGTGACTTCCGCACGGCGCGAGGGTGCCAGGCGCGAGGGGGTCTAAAGCAGCAGAGCGTCTAATAGCAGAACTCTTTACTTACCCCGCTTTTTACCCCGCTTTTTCTCCGGACCGCGGGGCACGGGGAATTTCAAGTTGCTTACGCGCCTGGCAGGGGGGGTCGTGATGCTATCTTCTATTTCTTCTTGGAGTAGATTCTTGCGTTGCAGACGCAGCGGGCGCCCTCCCCCACAGGGAAGGGGCCCAGACGACCTCCGGGCGCTCCCCGTGCCGGTGGACCCGACGCGCGCACACGCGCTGCCGCCTGGTGCTGGACCA